CCTTCCTGTACATAGTTCTTCTGAAAATAACAATGGTACGAGATACTTAAAAAATTATATAAGTTTTTCTATTTTCTTTTCAATAGATATAAAGGGATCATACATACTTCTGTCCTTCATAAAGCTAACAATAATTTTACGAAATATGATTACATTCTTGAAATCTTTTTTTTTCTTTGTTACATTTACATCTAAATCAAATATCAAGTAAAATTTATGGATATTATTATTCAGGTACAAAAAATTTGGAAATACTGCTTCATGAGCAAAAGAAATATATAATTAAAAGTATGGAAAAGATTATTAAGAAAAAAATTAAAAAAGCAACAAATAGCATGTTATACAGTGTCCGAAAAGGATATGATGAGATAAAGGCTAAAATGACAACACGTTCGTTAACAGGACAGAGTGAAATGGATTTACAAAAAGAATTAGGTTTCGATAAACCTTTCGATTCATATGAAGCATTTATAGCCTTTGACAATCGATTACAAGATGACGACTTAAATGTGATAATGGTACTTTTTATTAACATTTTAATATTACACTTACGTAAATTTTTTGTCAATACAGATATCAATTTACACAATATTATACAAGATGTGATTATATTATTTTTCAGAAAGATTATATATCTATAATAGAAGGAGGAAGTAAAAATACATCTGACGCAATAAAACGAATTTTACCTCGACTTATGGCAAAGGCAGTACAATTAAAGTACAGTGGTTGTGGACGACAAAGTGGCGATAAAAAGAAGGACAGTTTTGCAGAAACAAATACATATAAAATAATGAAAGGTATGTATGTTGTTAGGATACTTTTTTGTATAATTTAAAAATAAAACTACATGTGAAATGTATTTGTATATGGTTTTTTAAAAAATCACTCATTCTTTTTATTAGATACATTAAAACAACTTTTCCCAAATATTTGTGAGAAAGAGATTTTAACAAGAACAAGTCGCTAGTTCTCCGGAGCTCCCGACAGAGATGGTGGCAGAAAAGACAGACTTAAAACAGTAACACAGACTTAGAACAGTATGTTAAGCTGTCTTTACAATACCCGCGTTTTCTTTTTTTTTTCATTAATATCTTTATATTATACATTGTACTATACTACTTTGTACGTTTTCATTCAATATAATTTTGGAGAGCCACAGCTTGGCCTCTCACAGCCTGTATTAATGTAAAAGATTTGCAATTAGACGTAAATATTAATATCTTTGTATTACATTATTGTATGTATTATTTGTTTCTTGGTTCGATTTACCCATTGTTCGATTTACACAAAACGCAAAATAAATAGTTACATCTGAATAGTCTTGTCTCATTAGCGCGTGTGTGTAAGAGTACTAATACTTTTTAAATTATACATGAGTTTTCTGGAATATATGTATATGTGTGTATATATATATATATATATATATATATATATATAATACATACATACATACATACATACATATAACTGGACCAGTATTGTAATTGTTAATAAATAGTATCTAACCTGTAACTGACACAATGAGTTTTCTGGAACATATGTGTATATATATATATATACATATTTCGTTTATTGTATTCCGTGTATCGCAATTCTGGAAGCGCCTCCCAAGATTTACGACGTGACCAAAGACAAGAGTGAGAGTAGGGACAGGCGGTTCTACAACACTTTCCTTTTCGATCTCTGTAAGGAGACCATCGTGGAGGTCTATCAAGCAGACGACGAGAAGCCTGGCCCGAGCTGGACGAAGCCGAACGTGACGATTAAGTCCACGATGAAGATGCCGAAGAACGTCGAGGACGTGATCGAGTATGTTAACAAGGAGGTCGCTACGCTGTTTGATGTCAAAACGAAGCTGCAGTGAGAAAACATGGTGATACGTTGGAGCAGGAACGGTAGAGACAGGGTCGACGACGTGCTGGCGAGAGAGGTTTAAGCCGAGGAGGACGAATGGACAAAGTTTCATCATGACGAGTTGACGGTGAAGACGAGACTCACGGTAGCTATACTGAACACTTTCGTGATGGAAACTGCGAACGTAATAAAAATGGTGTACGGTAAGAAAAGGAGAATGATGGTGTAACGGTTATTAACTTTCGCAACTGAATGGAGACCGTATCTCTCGCATGTCATTGTTACGTAAAGTGAACAAAAGTAACAAAATACCCTCTCACAATCAATCAATATTTCCACAAGACTGCGTTTCGGATACCGCGTTACTGTCATTCACACTTTTGTTCATTAGTATCTCAAGTGTAACATTGGCTGGTTTCTCGTTATTTGTTAACTATGTATTTTGTTACTCTTTTTTCTTTTAACATTAACCAAGCTGACGTGTGGGAATGTTTAAATATATTAATAGACAAACCACAGTGAGGTAAAATATATATGCAGAAATATGAATGACAGAAAAAGAGAGAGAGAGAGA